GTAGACGAGATTGCCTTCCTCGTTTCGGGTGAAAGCCGGCTGAGCTTTCGTCCATCATATGATGTCGAGGTTACTTCCATTTCGAGTAAAAGTGTTGGGTAAAGAGATTCGAAGTTCGGTTCCACCAGAAGACGACGGAGGATTCCTCTTGACCAGCTGTCGATTGGCTTTACTGGAAGATTCATGCTAAGGCTGTTTCCGAGGCAATCTCCTTCGATTACGGCAAAAAGGTGCAAAGCTTTTGTCCGTCATATGACGAACATCATCATAGCAAGGTACCATCTTCACAATCAAATTCAGGCTAACGAGTCAAGAAAACTCACCGGCAAATCCCTAAAAAAGTGGTATATATATTCTATATCTGGCCTGTTTGATTAAGTATAGAGTGATTCGGTTAGTTACGGCCTGATGATGTTCATCATAGCACGTATTCACCGGAATCGAAGGATATTGCCTCGGAAACAGCGTCAGCATGAATCTTGCAGTGAAGCCAATCGACAGCTGGACAAGAGGACTAGTTTATGTAGATCAAGAGTGATGTGAATATCTAAATTTTAGATGGAGGCCAAAAGAGAGGCCAAGGAGGCCTCATTACAAAAATATTTGGCAGAAAATGTAGACATTCAAGTATATGACGCTAGTTCGATGAGAAAAGTAAAGAGGAAGCATAATGCATTGGCAATACTTGCTCCTTCTGTTTCCGATGAAGCAAAACGTTTACGCAAAATTAGTAAGTCTTTCAACACAAAGCCAATATTAATAGATCCCTCATCTTTTGAAATATCGCTAATTGGATTATTGTGGTAATTTTACCCATCTTTAACTCCTCGGTAAATATAGAGAATGCAGTCTTGTTTGTTTTGTAGTCTTAGACAAACAACGAATGGTAAACAAAGGGCACGAATGAGTTAAATAAGAAGTGTGAAATAAAGAGTCAATAAAGAACAATCATATTTAATGCGATACCAAATGAAGATAATGGATATATTAACGCTTATTTTCAGAACTCAATAAGACACGATTATGCAGATAGAAAATTGAACTTACTCCTGCAGTGATCTCTTTCTCTCGGCCTGCAATCCACAATCTCTTGCCGTCAGAGGTATAGCTGAAGAGGTAGTCGCCGAGGGCGGCAACACCCAACCCTGGTCCGCCACCCGGCTGAGTATCGTAGCTTTCAGTGTTGCCCCAGCCAACACGAATCGATGCAGCCGGAGACTCGATCGAGACATTGGCCAGCTCAAAGTACCACTTCGAGTACATGTTGCCGCCCTAAATCGAGCCAGCAAGATACAGTTTTTAATGAAGTTTTTATCCTTTAGTATAAAGGGATAATGATGACATCATCAGAGCTGGGTGTCATTCTTGCAAGAGTCTCACATTAACACAAGGCCAAGAGCATGAGACACAGCTCTGATGATGTCCATCGAATGATGGTCGAAAGCTGAGCTCGTTTTCACCCGAAACGATTGAGAAAATCTCGTGTATTGCGTCAACATGTACATCGTATAAAAGCCAAACGGTTGCAGTACGACGAGATTCATCCGTCCTCATCTGGTCAGATCGAACAATGAATCTCTTCTTTATGCACTTTCATGCGAAATGAAAGTCCCCCAATAATCTTATCTCAGGAGATTCATCGAAACCCAGTTTCTCTTCGTATCTACAAAATCATTACAATTTAACATAAATCTAGGCAGAAAGCTTTGTCGCTCCAACTTCATGCAGATGTTGGGCCCGTAAAGGGGAATTGGTACTTTCAATGTACTGTGTGAAGTGATCCTGGCTCAGAATACTGGCGAATGCAAGGTTCGAGTCGAATCTGATTATATCTTTGGGAGAATTGTTCCAATAAAAGTTAATTGGAACAGATTCTCGTGGAAGCAATTGCCTTTTTCAAATTGTGCGATAGGCTCAGATTAGGAGCTATGATTATAAACTGTCCTGGTTCGTTTAGCATTTCTCTATTTTACTTCATTTTCAACCAATGACTTCCCAAAGACTTGCCAAATCATAAAGTTAAGCTGTTGAATGCGTCAATTGTACGACCAATCAAAATGTATTTCCAGCCAAATATTCTTGCAAGATCTCATCAAACGCATAATATAAGGTATATTAGCATAGTTACCGTCTCCATTCGCTGTATAGGCTTGTAGTGACCTCGTTTTTTTATAATGAACCTTCCGGGTCTATAGAATACTTGAGAGATATTGCTGTATCCCTTACTCCCATTCGAGATACTATGGTCCACAGTTATACTTTTGTAGCCTATTTTTAAGGCTTACTTACCTTTTGAGCTATCAAGAATGCCTCATTGCCCGATGTTCCTTCCAAAATATCCATCCGGATTCGGGAAGGACAGGTACTTCTGTGTTAAATA